CAACAAAATGTCAACGTCCTAATATTCGGGTCGTAGGCCGTGAATAAAAGTCGACAGGATTACACGAGTGCAGACTCTTTCATTTACGCTCGTCTACTGTTCTAAAGTACCTCAAATTAGTGTGCGTTTTACGAATCCTGACCATTTTGAACAGCTCTGCTATCCGTCGACTTCCACAATTGGCACCTTGATCAGCATGAACAGATTCGGGTTCGCCAATTTGACGAATCCAGTGCTTAAAGGACGTTGCCATTACTGTCGCAGCGTTCTATGCCGTTATGAGAACCCAAATCAACTACTCTACTGCAGTAGTAAACCATTAAAAGATTGTGGCGATTTCCTCTCGCTGTCGTTAGAAGTGGACCTCCGATGTCAGTGCCATTCTCTTCCAGCAGGGCTGTCTGTGATAGCGAGAATAGAAGTGCAGACGTTTGGAATTCTGCATTGTCCCTAGAGCAGATGATGTTCTCCTCTAGAGATAGTTTATCCCAGTTTCGAGATATTTGCCTCGCTTCACTGCTCGGTGTGCTCATCTGTTCAAGTATACCAGAGCGCATTAGGAGCGGTGTTCTGCGTGTTCCTACATCGATAAGTTGTAGGTTTGCTCGACAGCAATGTACCTCATTTAGTGCCATCTGCATCAGTCGATAGTGACCTGTGAGACGGTATTCTGTTTTTATTTATCCCATCCTTTTTTTCCGCTACACTCCGAAATTTTGCAGCTGGAAACCTGCATACTAACGGGCATCTTAGTGGCCGTCATCGCCTTCAACTACATTAGAACCTGATAGTCTGCTTACCACAAATCATACAGACAGCAAAGGACTCGCGGTCCATTGCGCTCTTCCATCGCAGCATATGCTTAATAGAGAGCTGTTGTACGCAATGACATTTCACCGTTTTAGCGCATTTGTGGGAGTACATCTTCCTCCACTAGGACACTTGTATATGTATCCAGCACGGTAGGCAGGGCTTTGGACTTAAGGGCAGAACAGTTGGAGGAAAGGAGCCGTGGCAAACTGTGGAATAGTCGAAATCGCCAACCAATGCGGATGAAGAAGGAGAGCGAGCCGACTCGAGCCGAGCAGAGCGGAGTGGAGCCGAGGCGAGGCAAGAGGAGGGGAGGGCGAAGAAGCGGAGGCTGAAGGTGACGTCGCATTGCAGCACTCGTCTTTGTAAATGCAGCCCATTACCTTCCCTGTGTAACCTACAGTCAAGCTCTGCGGAAGA